TCCTCTATTTTCCTTTCAATTCTTCTTTTAAGTATCTTTGCTATTATCTTTGCTGTATGTGCAATAAGACTTATTGTGCGATGGTCGCTGCATTTTGTAGCTTTTGTCTTTTTCTTTAAGGCAATCATTGTAACTTCTGTAAAGTCCTTGGGCCACTCTCCACTTTCATATATGGTGTTCATTAGTTTACTTAGAAGCTATGAGGTGAAAATTATATAAAGAAAGAGGCATCTAATTTATATACTTATTAATTTAATCTAAACGCGTATATTTGCGAGGAATAACATGTAAACACACAAAATCGGAAATGTTAAAAAAACGTCATTATACGTCTTAAAAGGATCATTAAATTGATTCAACTGTCTATTATTTAAAAATATTTCTGTTACATAATATGACCGCTACTACTCCGTGGTCTGTAGTCCGCAAGCGAACTATACCGACCGAGCGATTGCCGCATGTCGGTGAAGTTAGTGCCAAATTTAGCGGATAGAAGGTGTCATGTGGTCAGCGCTAAGACTCCACATGGCCGTTAATCTCGGTTTTCTAGACCGGGATAATATGACCACTGTGGTGCCACCTAATTAGTATAATAATACATTAACCCATTAAGGCAGAGAGTTTATTATACCACGTGGTTCAACATTAAAAATTCTCTGCATTTTGGTCACACAGCGTACATGTGGGTTAATCATAATTCTCAGAACACACAACGATAACTTTTCTGAACAGCGTTAAACATGTGGGTTTTATCATGGAGGGGCAGCGTGTTCTCTGCGAGGTACGGACTGATGTTTGTTAAACGTTATTTAGATCAGCTTCAGGCTTGAACGGCTTGAACGTGTGTTCTGTCTGGCAAACAAAAAAAGGGGGGGGGGAGTTATTTCCATCGGATCCAGTATTGCTTCTTCATGGAAGTTGTGGGGCGTACTGACACGGATAGAATGCAGACAACTCCTGCTGTTCCCCTTCAGGATTCAAACCGTTAATAATTTCTTCTCTCTCTTATACAATACATATAATTACGCATATCGGTACAACTTAATACACTGATACATTGTTACAATATGGACATTTTAAACTTAGAAAATATTCTTCCCTCGTTTACAAAATTAATCATTTCTTTTACTTTAAAATAAATATAATAATAATACATTTACAGTAAATGTATATAATAACAAGAAGTTCTGGGAAGAACTAATTGCCTTACTTTCGTTTGATGCCACTTGGAAAGCACAAAAAAAAATATGGTAGGGGGAGCTGGATAGAGACACACAGACAGCAAGGTAATTTCATAAGCCTCCTAACGAAAATTAGGGGGATACACAGACAGACACAGAGACAAGAAAGTGATCTCATAGGCCTGATTTTATTTCTTCAAAATAATGGAAGTAGGCTAATGGGACTGAAAATGTCTTCCTGAAACCAAAGAATGTAGCTCGCTCATATATTTTTATTATTCAATAAATAATATTATGTTAAATTAATAGAACTACTTGTGCGATTGAGAGAATAATATATTTTCAGCTAATATTTGCTTTGCCTTGTTTCAGCACAACATTCATCTTGCACCACAAGCAGAAACTTCCCGCCGCCATGTCAGCCACTCAATTTGGCAATCAGAATTCTGATAATGTATTTAGTCCACTGCCACTAAATCATTAATTAAAACGCAATTTTAAGGCATCAATGGTACTGCAGTCTGATAGTATTTCAGTGACGTTTCGGAGAAATATACTGTCACCATCATCAGGGCAGAAAGATTTGCTGAGCAAGTAAGAAGAAAACAGTGTGCTTTACGTGCAACACAATTTTCTCTTCAGCTCTCCGTTCCGACTGGCTTTAGGGCCCATCCAGTCTGCTCTCAAAATGGTTTCGAGTATAGCGGCCGAGGCGTGAAGCTGACTACTCAACTACGTCTTTCGCAGAGGTTAAGAATGTGTGGGGCTATTACACAGTACTCGCTTATTTGCATGATTGGCCTAACCTTAGACGACGAACAGGGGAAAGTACTTTTCTCCTAAGCATCGATAAATTTCTGCAAGACTGTACGGGGTCAGAAGAAAACACTCTTCGTCAGGGATGAGAAGCAGTAAATAAGATTAATGGCAGCTGAGTTTTAACATTTTCACCGCGTTGTGAATATATGTAAATGATGGTGTTCCTGGTTATGGCACCTTCTAATCCTACAGGCAGTAATAGAGGCATACGCCTTCACCCATGAGACAAAACAGGAGTTGGGGACAGCAAGAGCTGTAAAAAAACACTGCACACATATCCGCCCCATATACAATGTAACTTCGATAATCCCAATTTAATTAAAGCATTGCTGTGTTCGCAGCTATCAATCATGAACATCCCAACATCCAGAACGTCCATTACCGTGTACACAAAATCCCACCACTGATCCCTATCCTGAGCCAGATAGATCCAGTCCGTACCACCCCATTCTATTTATCTAAGATCAGTTTTAATATTATCATCCCACGCACGTACAGGTCTTCCTAGTGATCTATTTACTTCTGCCTTTCCCATAAAAATTCTGCATGCATTCTTTTCCTCCCGCATATGTGCTACATGCCCTACCCATCTCATTACCCTTTAATTTATCGTTCTAATTATGTCTGGCGAAGAGTGCAAATGTTGAAGCACCTCGTTATGAAATTTTCTCCAGCCTCCTATTATTTCATCTTTCTCTTTGGTCCATATATTTTTCGACACCCAGTACTCAAATACCCTTAGTTTTTCCCCTTTAAAGTCAGAGGCCACGTCTGACACTCACTATAAGTGCCACTATAAGCAGAACTGACAGAATGAATGTCATACTGTACCCATGCTGGTTATTAACCATAAGACGCTCTGCATTAACATACACGATGTTTAGTGGGTGGTTCTGCTTAAGTTTCCAGAATGGTGTTATACGTCAAGAATACAATAACACAGTGAGACAATTAATAATATAATAAAGTGAAATAACCCTAGTTGTATCTACATATATTCTCTGCATTGCACGTTGTATTTACGGCACAACTGTATCTAACACGCTTAGATCAAACACCTTACAAATATGTATTTCTCTAGCATGATAAGGAATAACAACTCATAGCAGACAGAATTATATTCTTAAGGCGTTGTGTAGTTTATGTATTGATTACAAAATGATGAATCTAGTCCATTTTGGTTATATTTACGTGTCTGAGAACACTTTTATTTTTAGTTCTTTCATTCATTTAATTTAAACTAACATACTATATTTTAGCAACGCTGTATCTGACGGGTATTTATTCAACCAGCTGCAAAATAACGCGAGTATTCGATTCGAATGCTGTCTCCTAAACAAGAGCGGTTGCTTTATTTTCTGATCCCCGGAAATAATTACGAAAATGATTATGACGAGTTACAACCGGTAATTTTGACCTCCTCTGTGGTCTAGTGGTCAGAGTTCCTTGCTACAGATTCAGAGGTTCCGGGTTCGATTCCCGGCGCTACCAGATTTTCTGAGAAGTAGTGGGTCTGGAACGGGGCCTACTCCGCCTCGTGAGGATAACTGAGGAGCGGTTTGAATGGAAAAGTAGCGGCTTCCAGATTAACGGCAGTGAGATTTTTTTTAAAGCAGAAAAAATATTTTAAATACAAAAAAAAAAGCCTAGGCAATGCCCATCCGGCCCTCTGTAGCACATTTTTATAAATATCTTACTCTATCATAACGGCAGCCCCGCGATTCTTAATATAGACCTTAACTTAAATCTGAGGGTACACTCTTAATAATCAGTACAATTACTTCTTTTGCTTTTCTTGCATATCTATTTTATATAAATATAGGAATGTCGTTTATGAAGTAACAGACTCCTTGCACACATTTTTTTTCTTCTAGCCTTAAGAGCGCTGTAACTGACTTTGGGTACTCTTATTTGCTGTTCTCAGGCAAAATATCCATCACTGTTGCCCGTTGGTCCTCGTACAGTTTACACTTCCAGAAGGGCCGTGGGGATCCGTTGCGCTGACCACGCAGCACCGTCTATCCGCAAAAATTGGCACTAACTTTGCTGACAAGCGGCGGTTGCTCGGTCGGTATAACTCGCTTGCGGACTAAAAACCATGGAGTTTGTTTTTTAATATTGGTAGTTCTAATTATATCGTAAAAACTATTATTTTAGGTATTAATTTCTGCATTTAATAATAATATACTTTTCCTTAGTTTTGCTTATAATCCTCAGAACTAAACAACATATTCAATTTTGACGAAAGAAATTCGTTTTTCTGATTTTCTCGCCTTATATTCAGGGTTACGCTGTACATTCTAATTATAATCTTTTGTAAGGAGGACAACAGTATATCCATCTGACAGAGCAGATGGGGCTTCAGTACGGCAGCTGACTAATATGGAAGCATCTTATTTTAATATACAAGGGCTTTCACAGAAAATACATTGATATCACCAATGGTACATATAAATTATTTGTAACTACGTGTACAATGAAGTAGTTCCGAACTTTACCATGGAAACATGAACTAGTCGGGACAGAATGGATTAAGCTTCAAATAAAATTACAGTTTTAATTAGCTACGATTTCTCTGATTATATGTCCGTACTCACCAAACAGGTTAGCGTAGCGGTAAAGGTCTGGACTTGAATTCAGGAAGTTCTTGGTTCCATTTAGTTCCGGTCATCGGCTATACTAACTTGATATTTTCCGTGTATTTCCTCAGGCTCCCCAGGAAAATCTCACGATCGTATCCTTCCAAATCCTTTCATCACTGAACTATTATCCCACTATCAGACGCTATATAGATTAGCCACTGAAAGCGTCGTTAAACAACATAAAAATAGTTTAGATTTAATTGTATTGTACAGAATTTATTTATCTAAATAAGAGGTTTCTTCGTGCTCTACATGTAGACTCATATAACCATGTACTCAATGCCAACACAACAATGGGCACATTTGCGGATGATACCGTGATCCTCTCGGCCAACAGAGATCCAGCAATAGCTACCTTCACTTTGCAAAATCATCTAAATCAAATACAAGAGTGGACAAATACATGGAAAATAAAAATCAACGAAACCAAGTCAGTGCAAGTAAACTTCAGTCTAAGAAGAGAACAGTGTCCTGCAGTTTTCTTTAATAACGTACACATACCTGAATCACCCAGCACAAAATACTTAGGTATTCATCTAGACAACCATCTAACATCGAAGGAACACATTACTAAAAAAACACAAACACATTGATCTAAAAATCAAGGATATTAATTGGTTAAGTGGAAGAAATTCAAAGCTCTCATTAGACAACAAAATCTTACTTTACAAAACAATAATAAAACCAATTTGGGTATATGGAGTGGAAATATGGGGATGTGCTAGCAAAACCAACATTTCCATAATCCAAAGATGTCAGTCAAAGATACTACGTATGATTACTAACGCCCCATGGGCTGTTTCCAATATAACACTTCATGAAGACCTGAAAGTGCCGCTAGTAAAGGAAGTCATAAAAGCGAAAAGCACAAGATGCCTCAACAAAACAGAAGGACATGAGAACGTACTAATGCAACCGCTACTGGAACCGCACAATGAAGGAAGACTGAAAAGGAATTGGCCAGTCGACCTGAGAGAGGGGTAACGAGGACTTATCTCTGGATAAGCCCTCTCCACGTCACGAAGAATACTAGAGCTAATTAGCTTATAGAATCAAATGTAATTCTGATTGCTAATTTTATGTAAAAAAAATACAACCATGCGCATTATCTTATTGAATGCTATATAGACTCTGCAACTGGTGCGCCGTAGTTTCATAGATATACGAAGGGGGACCCAAAAATAACCGGAACCGACCTGTTGCGCGCGCATGCTTTGTAGTTACGAGTTGTGCTGCTAGGTGGTGTTAGCTGGGGGTCTCCCGCGACTGTTAGTGAGCTGGCGTCAGTCTGAGTTAAGTGGTTTGTCTGTGGTGCTCTGTTGTGTGCGTTCCTGTTTCAACCCTTTGGCGATTAGTGAGATGGCCGACCAGAAGGAACAAAGAGTGTGCGTGAAATTTTGCTTTCTGTTAGGGAAAACTGCAGCCGAGACTGTTGGGATGCTTCGGCAAGCCTTTAATGATGATGATTTGGGGAAATCACAGGTCGTAAACCCGTCTTAATATAACAGGTCATAGACGTGACCTACAAGCTTTTAAGGGCATGCGCGTAAGGATAGCAGAATGAAGGCAAATACGTATATCTATGTAAGTTATTCAAGAAGGCCGCGCCATAGCTCAAGCGGTTAGTCGCTGGCTTCTCACTGCTGCGGCCCGGGTTCGATTCCGGGTCTGGTCAAGTGGGATTTGTGGTGGACAAAGTGGCGTTGGGGCGGATTTTCTCTGAGAACTTCGGTTTCCGCTGCCAATCTTCATTCTACAAAATTCTCCATCATAATCACCCGGGGCAAGCTACAATAGGCCAATCAGTGGCCACCGTGCCAAGTGGACCCAGTTGGACTCCACCCAACACTAAGCGATTTTTAAAAAAAGTTATTCAAGAAACAATTTCAAGTTTACGTAGCTGGAAACTTGTTAAAATGTGTATTCAATTATAATTGCGGGCTTGCTGCGAGATGTTGGAGTTGAGGTTCTCACAGCGGTGACTGAGAACAATAACATATTCTGGGCAGTAACGCCGTGTAATCTGGTACAAGTTTACCGATGATTCAGCTGGACAGTAAGAGAGCCCTAAGTAAAGTAC